CCGGCCCCCGGGCCTTGTCTGCCTTATCTTAATCCTTCAATCTGACCCTAAACTTAATCTTAATCTAATTTAAATCTTGAACCAAAGCAGTTATTTTTAAAATATGTACGACTGGACCATGTGCAGACATGCATATATATACACACATACACACACACGCAACAAAAACCCACTGTGTATGTTGAGCGACTGCACATTGACACGGTCATCTCCGTGAATTGTCTATCAGGCGTTTGCGTGTTCACTCTCTGCGGAGCTTTTCCTGTGATTATTGATCATTTACAGCTGAGTGAAGACCCTGATGTCTGTTAATCCATTTAAACGGTCCGTGTGCATGCAGTGAGTCACCAAAAGACCGTAACATCATCCTGTTTGTAAACAACATGCTGCTCATCCACATGCATGCTTTAGGTTTCGCCCTCCATCTACACAAGGTATTTAAGCCCCTCGCGGTTTGTTGCGCAGAGACACACAAACTCACTGGATATATCGCTTCAGCTCCTGTCCACTACACATGGACCAGTGGTAACGGTGGAAGGCAGCCTGCACCAGAGGAGCCATCACACTTCCCATTGTCGTTTCATCCCCACAGCGGTTGCCTTGGCCGTCGTGCTCCATGCCCAGTCTACCCACCAACACCACAGGGAAACATAGACATTGGGTTAATAAATCAGCAGTACGATAACTTAGCGTTTTCCAAATATATTTAAAAAAACCTTTTCTGATATTTTTTATTTCAATTTACTGGCAAAAACATTCAAAAATTACTCCAAAATTTGACTTTTATTATTAACTATAAATATTTATATTTATTAAATGATCAGCGATGATGTGCAAGATTGGATTAAAGTAGGGGTTCCCAACCCCTGGTTCTTTGGTCATTTGGTACTGGGCCTCAGTGAAAGAATTAATAATTCTGTTAATTTAGAGAAAGAGAATCCAGTTTTCATTTACTTTGCCGCTACAAAGGAGGGGGTGGGAGCGGTGGGGGGCGGGGGGGGAGTGATGTCTGTGGTACACACTGATCCCTGAACCAAAAATGTTGGGTCGCAAAGGTTTGTGACTTTTGAAATATGGGTCCCCAGAAAAAAGGTTTGGGAAACACTGATCAAAGGCATTGGATTAGTGAGGCATTCGACTCCCACCACTGGGGGTATATTTATCTGTTTGTATATGTATGATAAAATAAAAAAAAAAGGTTTTTTTTTTTTTCTAAATGTTGACTAATACAGAAAAAAAAAACATGCAAACAACACAAACGTTGAAAACTGGGACAGAGGGAAAGTAAAACTGAGGTGTTATTCAAGTTACATTCTGGAATGTTTCCAAATTTGGCAGGATACGTTAACAAGATTGTGTCATAACACAGTGACGGACAAAGCCTCGAGGGGAAATCACTGCAGCTGAAAATAGTCCATTGCAGCCCTAAAAAAGAAAACTCTGAGTTGATGTTATGTCGAGAGAAATGTATTTATCAATTACACAAGCCACGCCATCCACTTGTCTGGACCGTAGATCATTTGAGAGAGACTGAGAGCCAGTGGGAATGTGTTATGAACGGATGACTGTACGTCTAAGACGGTTTTTGGAAAAACTGATTAAAAACTAATGATGCAATCAATAACCATCGACTGTAATGGTAGGGTGGCATCATTAACTATCGTCCCGGGTTCTGGATACCTGTGAAAGTACTTTAAACTTAGAGGTTTACATTGGAACTTTGCAGTTAATTCAAGTATTAAAATTTATTTGGCACGACATTAATTATCCAGTAACCTGTCAGGGTTCATTCTGCACTAATTACAAAATGATTTACACAAACATCAGTTTGTTTGACTGGCATATCTGCAGTCCAACAACAACAACCACTAGATTTATCCTAGACATAGTATCAATAAGAATAATAATCACCTGTAAAACTACCAAAGACACTTAGTTAAAAAAGGGACAGGGTGACGTGACCATTTCTAATAGTTAATTTTACCACGTTAATGACATTTTTGGATTTATTGCAGGTATCGACTTTGTTTGTTTCTGGTCAGTTTCATTTTTTTTTCTTCCAAATACGAAAAAACAAACAAAAAAATGTTATTTATTACATTATTTTGAATCATTGTATCAATGATTGTATTTAAACATTGTATTCTGAAAATGTAGTCTTTCATTTTAATATTGAAGCTAACTTTGTTTTTTTTTAAATGACAATATAATGGACAGCATTCAGATGGATCGTTACACTGATAAAAAAACACTTTTATGTCAGCTCACAGCTGAATGTAATTGCTACATCTTACTATGCATACTACGCACATATGTTCCAGTAGTAATAACAGAATTACATGCAGCTCATCAGTTTTCCTCTCCGGAAATTAGTGTCACCATGGAAGGACAGGTGTATGTCCAGTCACGCATTTGGAAAATTATAGAAAAGTTGGTGGAAGAATTAAAAAACAAAGAATCAGACCAATTCATACAGCTAATGTTATGGTTGATTGTTCGATACCTGTCGATGCAGATGATGTTTTGATTGGGAATTTGACATTTTCTTGTTGTTTAGAGCGTGGATGGGCAAACTTTTCTAAATTCTTAAAACATCTTCTCTTGTTAATACAAAGTCCGTGCACATGACATTACACTCATGACCCTCACCACATATTAAGATTAATGCCCACGTTGATTTTGTGTAATGAAATCCTTAAGCTGACACAATACTGTTGAGTTTGATTTTTCTCTCAATAATCCATCAAACTGCCTTTTACTAAAGCAATGTTTTCAGTTCAAGTTTACGTCCCCCCCCCCTCCCCCCAAAGGGTCCAGCAATTAAGGTTTATTAGAGAAATCCCCTTTCACATGCTCACGTTGCACATTGGTACATTAAAAGGTGGTTTCTTCCAACAAGCTGAACGTGCTACTGATGTCTGGCATGCATTCAGGGAGCTAATCATCTGTAATTATGCCCCGTGATGCCTGCCTCACATGTAATATAATCTAATCTACTAACAGAACCTATAGATAATCAATATAAGGTTATTTTCTTTAATAACTCCATGAGTCTGTGCAGTTGCATTTCATCCCAATGTCATTATTAAAAGGTCCTCAAGAGTTAATCCCCACCCTTAGGATCTTATCTGAATCCTGGTTTATACAATCTTTAAATTGCGAAGTGACTTTGCCCCAAGGTCGCAGAACAGTGAGACGTAGATTGGGCACAACAGCGGAGTGTGTTTCCTGTTTTCTGTATCACACACTTGGTGTCTCACCATTGGATTTAATGCAAACCTCTGCCATTAGCTGAGCTCTAACGCAGGGGTGTCAAACTCATTTTCATTGGGGGCCACATCAGCAATACAATTCCCTTTGAAGGGCCAGTTGTAAATGGAAGACTGTATAAATCAGGGGTCCCCAACCCCTGGTCCGTGGACCAGTACCAGTCATTTAGTGCCGGGCCACAGTGGGACACAGTGAAAAAAAGTGTGTAATTTTTACTAATTTACTTCATTTAAAGAAAATCCAGTCATATTCATTTATTTTCTTTATTTAAAGATAATCTGAAAAATATTAAAATAATATGTCATTCAGACTTTGATATAAACAGAATAGAGTCTAAAAGATGTTTGATTTTGAAAATGTAATGGTCCTTCAATGCTCAGTACCTTGGTACCGGAACAAAAAAGGTAACAAAAAAAAAACCTTATAGTTACTCAGGTTAAGAAACTCTGCTGCATGGACTTTACTTAATGCTTTTTAAGCTCCCGCGGGCCACACAAATTGGCTTGGTGGGCCGCATTAGGCCCCCGGGCCTTGAGTTTGACACATATGCTCTAACGTGTCCTTCATGCATCACTGCACGTACTGTTTTGACCCTAATGTTAATAAGAGGTCTCGCTTTGCCCACATGGAAACAAAATCATTATCAGTCGAGCAGCAGATGAAGAGTCGATAGCATGGGTCACAACTTTCCGAGCCAGTTTTCAAATGGAAGGCTAACGGAAAAAAACGGTGAAGTGCATTTTCACAACACAACTAAAAAAAATGCAATTAGTAATGCAATTAATTGAGATTAATAATTAATAATTAATATCAATTAATCATGACCGAATTAAAGGAACATCTTTTACACCTATTTTTTGTATTTTGTGATTTGTCCAAATTATTCATATGGAAAAATTAGAGTAGAGGAAAAATAACATGCAAGGGTATAACGCAAAATCCTGTATTTTATAGGTGGTTGATTTTAGTCACCGCTATGCATCTTGGGTCACGGGGTGAATCACTGGTCAAAATAATTTGCACAGTAGACAAAAAGACAGTTGTTCCTAGATCTTGAACTGGAACGTGGCTTATGATTACAGCAAGTAATCATAAGCCATTAAGAAAATGCTGAGATTTATCAAATATCAATTATGTCTTTTTTTAGAAACTTGAGATCAAGCCTAAAATAGATAAATCCAAAAGAATAATTTTCTTTAATATTCATTAGCTTCACTGTGTCTTTGTCTTGGTTTCTACGTTTATAATTAAGTGTTTGGTTTTCATTTTCCATTGAAATTATTTCCTAAATTAATATACAATTTAAAATAAGTAACAAAAGGTTAATATTTAGAGCTCCACTAGGTTTACTAATATATTAACAAGGGAAATATTTAAAACTTTGGATTTGATTAGAACAGATAAAACACTAAACCCAGCCTAATTTCTCCTCCAGAGTCTTTTGGAAATTTCACTCATCATTTCCTCTAGCAGTGGACTAAAATAGCATTAGAACGATGTTTCTTATTATTGTATTTTTACTGTAACGATAATGGACGAGCAAGGTATTGGAATAATAGAGTCACATGATAACTACTTGCAGCTGACTGTGTTTACGGTAAACAAACTAAAAGGATGTTTGATGTCATTGTCTCCATAAAGGCCCAGTGAATAAGAAACTGAAAAAGCCCTCAGTGGTTCTTTGAGTGTGTAAAAAGAAAAAAAAGATATCATCCTTTTTTTTACTTATATCTAGAGGCTTGTTGAACCTACACATGTCCGGTTTCATGAGCGACAACAAAGGCAGAAGAGAAGCCGTCCTCGTGATTCAGGGTGCAGCTCCGCACTGGGTGACACATTCCCGTGACTGGAGCATATCCTAGAGAGACCAAAACAGGAGGAAAAATGTTTAGGCTTTGGTTAAAAATAGTTTTTTTTATGTTTAATGTACAAAGTGTGATCCAAGGGATGTTTTTATACAGAGTATAGGGTATAAAGAGTATGTTGTTTGTTATAGCATTGTTTCCTAAAGACTGGGTTGCGACTCTCAAGGGGGTCGCAAAAGACTCTTTTTTGGGGGGGGGAGTCGTCTCTCAAGTTTAGGAAACACTGCTGTACAGAAATGCTTTGTGAACACTTCACGAGACATGCCAGCATATATTCTCTAACTGAATTTCTTTTGAAATCCACTCTCGCAGTGGATGGATTATTTTTGCCATCTGTAGGCTGGTCGTTGGTATATATTTATATAAATGAGACAACGTTTGCTCTCCAATCTTCCTACATTTGTGCTCGAATTGAACAGACGAGTGTCGGCTGACGCTCTCTTCATTCATAAGATTAATCGTTGCCCTCTGTTCCAACTGCCTGAACTGAAACAGCTTTGGTTTTTTTTAATTACCGTTAACTATACATGAGGGCAATGACAACCTGAAGTGAGGCTCAGATGGTTGTAGTAAAAACGCACTACAGACTACCTGGTTTTTTGGATTGCGTCACGTTTTCAATTACATGTGTGAGTGTTTAAATAAAGCACCTGACACAATACAGTACTTACACTGGCAAAAAAGGGTTTCTTTCTACTCTTAATAATAATAATTTACTTCACTAAAACACTTTAAATCTAAACTGAAAGTACTACTGAGTACTGGAAGCCGAAATAATTGTTATTATTATTATTATTATTGAAAGTACATCCTTTTTATTGTAAAACTTGTGTCACTGTGTTTTATATTTGCTATGGCATTTCCTGGCAGGTCTCCCTTGAAAATTAGATTCTTAATCGTAATTAATCTGATTAAACAATAGCTAATATTATTATCATTATAATTAGTAGTAGTAGTAACATTATACTAATATTTATAAAATGTCTTTGATGGACTAGTCAATTCTCTGGTTATAACTCATTTGTTGACTACTTGGATTGGCTCCAGCCCAGTAAAAACAGCAGCATTTACGTGTACAAAACTCTTTACTACCAGTCTTACTATTAGCTACTTTTTTTCTTCCTTCCTTTTTCCAAACTTTGAGCTGATCTCTGCGTTGCCATTAAAATTACAATGCAGAGTCTAACCCAGCACTTCATGATCTACTTGTCAGATTCGCTGACAACTGCTTGTTGACAGCATACGATGACAGGACACAGGCTACAGATGGCAGCACTAAGGAGCTGTGGGTGTTCTTTCATTAGTGACAACAAGTGATTATATTTAGTCCTAGAGAGAGAGAGAGAGAGAGAGAGAGAGTGGTAGATGTAGAGATAAAGGTAGACAGAAAAAGGGAGAGAGAGAGGTGTAGACAGAGAGAAAGATAGAGAGGGAGAGAGAGAGAGAAAGAGGGGTTGAGAGAGAGAGGTAGAGGGAGAGAAAAAGGGAGAGAGAAAAAACAAAGAGATGTGGAGAGAGAGGGAGAGAGAGCGCAAGAGGTAGAGAGAGAAAGAGGGAGAGAGAGAGAAAAAGAAAGAGAGACATAGAGAGAGAGAGGTAGAGAGAGAGAAAGAAAAAGAAAGAGAGAGAAAGAGAAAGAGAGAGAGAGATACTATTATTATTATTAAATATCACAGTAACCTGCAGCCCATCTGTGGAACTACTGCTTTGTAAAACAGAATAACTTCAGGTCTTTTTAGTCCATATTATTGTGCAAGAACTCAGGGAATCAGAAATTGGTGCTAACTGCACATGAACCCTCAAAAGAGTGTTGAATGATAATGCTCAGATTAGTTCATGTTTCAGTCTATTTTGGTGAAGCGTGTGTACTGTATAATATCACAAAAACACACTCCTCTTCAATCATACATTTGTTGTCTTTCTACTGCCGTTGGGGGAAAGATGCAGTCGGGTTGTTTACCTTCGGCAGTCAGTAGAAACAGTGCAATTTACAGTCATGTCACACATAAACGTGGGAATCCAAATTAAATTTGCTGCGCACAAACTCTAACCGTGGCAAACAGGATTGTATAATAATGTCCCCTCATAGAATTTTTTAAACAAACCAGTCTTTTATGTTTTTAAATCCAGCAGTGGCCAATAAACTGATTATGTAACTGTATCTTGAAGACATTATTGTTTGTTTTTTGAAGGAATAATCATGTTGGACTGAATGTTGGTCACTATGACGCAGACAGTCATTCATTCGTCTTCTACCATTTAATGTCAATTTTCATTGGTTGCAGGGCCATAGAGACAATTCCTACAGTCAGCTGTTCAGGGCTGTGTACGTACTAGATACAGTAGCTCTTTAGTCAAACACATGGCAGCATAACAAAAACAAACAAACAACTAATTTCACTCACACTCGAATCTGAACATGAACCTAGTTCTGAATCTCTGTAAACTTTAGGTATAAACATCACTGAAATGAAAACCCAAACAGACACATGTTCAGTAGAAAATTCCATACAGGAAGCATTGATTAAACCAATGAACCCGGGACCTTTCTGTTGCTGTGTACAGTCCTGAACACATATGCCACCGTGAGGTCATGTTGTATATGATGTATCTAAATACAGTAGCAATGTAACAAATCTCCAGACATTTACTAAAAAAATACCCTTTTGTTGTGTGATAACCAGAGTCCAGATTGAAATTCCATAGTATTTTTATTTATTATTCCATGTTATTAATTTCCTTATTATATTATTGGCCCAGGACCCTCTGGTCCTTGCAGTCTCTGTGTTTCCTCCCCTCCTAGACCCCATGGATATTCTGGATCCAGGACCCCCTCCATACTCCTGCCTCATCTGTATCATCTGTATTGAAAACTGGAACTGTAAAATTGTTGTAGTTTGTTTTGCTACTGTCCGCCTGCCCGTCCTGGGTGGGGATCCTGTCCTCTGTCTCTCACCCTGAGGTTTCTTCCTTTTTTTTAACCCTATTAAGTTTTTTTTTGGGAGTTGTTCCTCAGCCGAGAGGATGTTTACTACTGTTACCACTTCTTTCTTTCTTGCTCTTGGATATCTTAATGGTATTGTGTAAAGGACATTGAGTTTACCTTGTGTATGAAATGTGCTCTATAAATAAAATTGAATGAATTGAATATTAAAGGATAAATATGGAATAAATGTTCTATTGACATTAAAGCCAAAAGACCAGTCTATATTATGTCCTGATTTAAATGTGAAAATTGTTGTCAGAGATCAACCGTTACAACATCATAACACTGCCTATTTTCACAAACAACAGCCAATGTAGGTCACATTGGCGTTTCCATTTTCTGAGAAACACATGGATCGCAAGTGTGGAGTCAACAAACATAATCACACTGATGGCTTCCAATTGTCTTCCCTTGTTTATCTTCACCAGACCTACCGTAGTGAGAATGTTTGACTTTTCAGATTGTCCTGAATTGTACTGCGGCACTTGAATCAGAGAGTTTCGTCTGTATATACGAAACAAAACACGATACTTGACGTGAACATAATGCATAGAAGGTTTTTTTTGCTTGTTAAGCATTCTGGGACAGGTGTTCTCAAACATCTGACTGTTCTCTCTGTGGAACACACACACTTTGTAAGCTGTTGATTCTGCATTCCACTTTAGTCGTACCCAACCGCCAGACCCTGATCTGGAACTTAAAAGCCGAGCACAATCGTTTGATAGCACAATGCTAAAGGACCAAAAGCAATTCAGATCTCTCTGAGTACCACCATGATGACCAACATTAGAATATAGCAGCATAGACCTTCACTATTAGCTTCCACCACAGGAGAGATGTTTAGAAATATTTAGAAAGATGTTTATGTTTAAATGTTGTATTCATTGTACATGGTATGTTTCAGATTTATTAAATTAAAAATGTAAATGTGAAAATATGAATTTTCCCCACGTACCACCAGAGAGCGCTTGTGTACCACTGGTGGTACGCATACCACAGTTTGAGAACCACTCATTTAGAATTAATTATAATGTGCTGATTTACCAACATCTATTTCTCTCTCACGTCTACGTGGGTTCTCAGTCATCCAGTTACTAATATCCAAAGCAGTCAAGTAGAGCATTGTTTCCCAGACTGGGTCCCTCAGGTGGGTCGCAAGAGTTTTTTTTTTTTTTGGGCCGTCTCACATAATGTTTTCCATGTGTTTATGAATAATGTCTATTCATTTGGCTCAAAAAGGTTTGTGACATTTAAAATATGCAAAATATAATATGAAAAAAAGTTAGGAAAACTGTAGTAGAGGGCAACTGGACTGTCCTGTTTATCTTCCATTTTTAGCAGTTAATAAAAACTGAAGACGCTTCTTGGGTGGGAAGTGAAGCCTCTTCAGGAAGTCAAGACAGTTCAGTCTCTACTTCACCGCTGTGGATATTTTCCTCTCAATGCACAGTCAAAGCATCTGTTCAGACCAGGGTCGTTAAATAGGTGTGTGAGGAATCCAGCTGTGTTCAAATCTTAAACAACGGGGAACCATGTTCATTTGGATAAAAGGAGCAGAATGTGTCCCTTTTAAGGCTGTTTTGCTTGAGAATTTGGAACCAAAGTGTCAAAGACTTAAATCCTTTAAAAAAAACCCTTGCCCTCAGACAATGTATTATCATCAAAAAAATAATGGCTAATCTGCACGGTTCCTCAGGCCAGGTGATAATTTCCATGTCAAATAATCTCTTTATGAAATAACCTGAATACATATGCAGAACTGATTTAACTGCACTAATAGACTTTGGTCCCAGCATGTAGAACTCAATCATGTGACCAACAGTATTGAAGCTAGCAAACTGCTCAAGGTTTTATTAAACAACAACAAAAAAAAAACATTCTTGATTATACCTTCCTTATAACATTTATTCCCAGTTGCAGTAAAGTGAATGATACCCACACCAATGTTCTAACAAAAATTCATTTAAGAAGCAGATTATTCCCTGTGATACAAATAAAGATACATCTTCTGATGGAAGAAGCTTCAACATCAGTGAGTGGGTAAAAATTTCACAACATTGCTATGTTAAATGCGTTGTGATTATCCTGTGCTCAGAGTGTCTTTTTTTTTTTCTTTCCGGAAAAAGAATATGTGATAAAAATGTCGATAGTTTAAGATCTGTATTATGGTAAATGGCCTTTTAACTTTAACCTTTACTAGACCATTGTTCCCCAAAGACTAGATTGCGACCCTGAGGTGGGTCGCAAGAGATTTTTTTTGGGTCGTCTCCCATCATGTTTCCCAGGAATTTACCAATGATGTCTACTTGGGTCACAAAGGTTTGTGACTTTTAAAATATGGGTCCCCAGAAAAAAAGTTTAGTAAACACTGGTCTAGACAGTGGTACTACAATTAATTCAACATCACAGCGTCTCTCTGATGCATGTGCTCCCTTCTTCGGACTTACCCTGCATTCCTGTGGGGCCGAAACCTTGGCGAGTGAGGAAAATAGCGTGGTCGTGGTGTTCAGCGTGATCGGGGTCACCTTTTTGCTGACCAAACGCCCAGCGGCACACGTTCTCCAGGCTCCGTGATGGGTTGCCTCGTTCGATGAGGTTGATGGACTGATCAAAAGAAGGTGAGAAGTTGTTTAGAGGTGGGTGTGGGTGTGGGGGGTGGGGGGGAGGGCTTCACAATTAACCTTTATTGATTAAATGAAAACATCTAGTTCTACAGAGAATCTTAGATTACATGCATAGTTAGACACAGGCCAAAGATAAAAACAAAAAAGTGATACATTTTGATATGATACTCATTTGATTTGATACTCATATTTTACTGATATTGCTAACTGGCTGTACATATTAACCAACTGACAATCTGCAGGAAGTGATGAAATTGCTCACTGTGTTGTTCAGGAAAAGGACTCCTGTTCACTTGCAACATATGATGGAGTCAAGTAAACCATTTAACAATATGTTTTGTATTTGTAATTTGTTTTATAGTCAGCACCAACAGTATCCTTAACACAGTTTTACACTAGAATATCCCAACACGAACTGAGATATTCAGCTGCAGTGCCAATGGAGAGCAGAACTCATCTTTAAATAACTAAGCCGAAAATTAGCTTTCCTCTCTGCTGTGTTTCAGTGATGCACTGTGACTGTGAAATTCCCTCCTCTGCAACAGTACAAAGTAAACACAGTATATATATATATATATACACACACACACACATATATATATCACAGATAAAAAAAACAATAGAAAATTAAACATTGCCTCAAAACAAATCTATTCCTTCTGCACTGTTGTTTGAAACTGGCAAAGTTCTGAATTCAACATTGGATCATCACACTGCAAGATGCAGAACTGAAGTCAACTTCAGAGGTCAGTGAGTTTTACTTCAATACTTTTCTGACTTGTTTTTATGAAGACCAAAACTCACCTTGGCATAACCGAGCATGATCATCCTCACCAGAACCACGTTGATGTGTACTCCCAGGGACTCATCATGGTAAATCTCATTTACCTAAGAAAAGAAAAAAGAATTCCATCAGAGCCTTTTCAACAGCATTATTGCCATTTCCTTCAGGACATTTGATCCTTTAGATTTGATTTCTACTCACAAGTCATCAGTAAAGCAGGCAGTGAGCAACACACCATTCTTCAAAAGTCACTCCATGAATGACTGCAATCACAAAGTCCAATCGCAATTCCGTAGTATTCTAAGAAGTACAGCTATTGCGTCAGAATGCTCAATCAGGCTCTAAATAACTGTTTTTGCAGATTGTGAAGCCTCAGCGTTTTAAGTAAAATGGGGTTGTGATTTGTTGCAAATGTTGATGACACAGGAAAACCAGGCTGTTAGTGTTAATTATCTTGACCATTCATAATGCATAAGTTAAAGGCAGATGTGAATAACAGGGGTGGAACGATATACGAATCAGTTGTTCGTGATACGATTTTTATGACAATTTTCTTTTCTTTTTTTTTTAAAGAAAATGAGTTGCAGACAAACAGTTGTGGGAAAATAGGTTGGGTATTTTATAAACCAGTGTTTCCCAAACTTTTTTTCTGGGGACCCACATTTTAAAAGTCACAAACTTTCGTGCCTCAAGTCAATAGACATTATTCGTAAACTTCTTGTAAACATGATGCGAGACGACTCCCCAAGAAATCTCTTGCGATCCACCTAAGGGTTGCAACCCAGTCTTTGGGAAACAATGTTACAAACAACCCAAAGTAAGTTGACACTGTCAAGATATTGACACGGCATTGACTCAAGTCCACCTACTTCATGGAGCAAAACATTTGAGTAAAACATTTACTTTACATTATACATTTAAAAGTGACTAAAACCAGTGCAAAGGTGCTAATTATACAACACATACTATAGGTTAAGGCTTGAATACTGGTATATTAATTATAAGATACTGTAGTACCCGAGCTCAGAGATAAAATGTGTGAGATAATGGTTGTCCATATGTTTTATGTCAACAACTGTCACAACCTTATTTGTCCAGTGCGTGGCAGTTTACATGCAGATGAACTATGATGTCTGCTCGGCAGATTTGACCCATGAAGATACTGTTTTAGGACTTGTTCTTTCAATGTTAATAAAAATATATCTGCTATAGAAATTCATGCATATTTTAATCAGTTTGAGAGATCAAATTTCCCCTTTGGGGATCAAAGTTGTTGCTATGAGATATTGAAATATAAACTGATGGATGGACTCACATCTTCCACTACATAAATTAAGCTGTTTTAATATAACCATGGTTAAACAGTAGAGTGTCAACGTGTCAAGAGCGTTTTATATATCAAGGCTTTAAATACAGCATATCTGAACACACTTTCATTCATTAGATTCTGATATTGATTTTGTTTTTTTAACAATGTGCAGGAAAACATGACAAGTCAAAGCTTAAACATTACACTGGGCTAAAGTATGCAATGGACAACCTAAAAAAAATACCAAAAAAAAAAAAACCAACACAAGGATGCTGTTGTCTAGCGTTAGAGAACTCAGACAGATGTATAATTCAAGGAACGCCGTCTTCATTGTAAACCCAGTGATGCAAGGCTTTATAGCAACTGAATTGCAATTTGGATTTTTAATTTGATTTAATTATGTGATGCATGTCTCCCCTTGGGGCGCCAGACAAAAGAAAAATCTTAACTAGCTAAATTACATGGGCAGATTTGGATGGAATTGTGACACCTACTGCGAAAAAGAAGAATGACTCTACCACTGTAAAAAGAGGCCAAAGAATAACAATAAATATAGAAACTTTGTTTTCTTAGTGACTGGAGTTTTTACATCATTTACTAAAAGTTTGAAACTGAAATTGTCTTTCTTCTTCCTGCATTCAGAACTCTAGAATATACTAATATTGGGAAGGTGAAAACATAGACAGAGAAACTGGTAAAATTTCTAGCAAACCTGAAGACCCATTTTCAAAAAATGGTATTGATCGGACTGCACTTAAATCTTTAAGCTTGGCTGTTGCTCAGTGAATTGCCCCTCCACCAACCGTTAAGATCAGGAGTCCACTTTCTGTCTTGGAGTCTGCTGGAATCATTGTTGTTTTTGTGCTCTTAATGCAGTTTGATGTTCCAAAATGTGTTCTAAAATGCACTGTAAATTCAACATTCTGATTCAGAAACACTTGAAGACGTAATCATGTATTGTACCAACTGATTAGATCAAAAATACTCTAAAAGGTCTGCTGCAACATCTCAATAGCTACGCTGTGCATTTTGACTGGCAGAGTCATGGTGGCTCTTACTTTTGAGCCAATGATTTTTCATTACGATTATTTGCCTGATTGCACCTGTCAGTGCTGCACACAGGAGGGGGTGGTGGAATAATATTCTATAGTATATAATTATATCACAAACATGCTTAATTGTCCTCCTATCAATGAGTTCACTGTGTACACTGTGTTTGTGTTGATCCTTAGGAGACGAACGCTACTGCATCTCTGAAACAATCTGCCTAAATATAAACATGTCACAATATAAACTCAATGGTTTGGATCAAATTGAAGATTGACGCATCAAATTTTAATCAGCCAGTTTCCTCCATGAGTTCATCACTAGGAATTGAGGCTTCATGTATTTTTTTTTCCATTTTCTTTTGTTGTTTTTTTTAATGCAAAAAAATGTTTATTTAAGGTTTGTGTGTTAGTACTATTCCAACGTACCAATGTGTATCATTTATGTTCTGATTTTCTTTGAAGTCGTCTTTGCCTACTTTTTCATTTGAAAAATTAAATTGTAGCAACGAAACAATTTAAGTAGCAGAAACATAAAACAGTATTCAAGCACGTAGCAGTATTCAACACAGGATAAATGTAATCACTGTTTACTGTCAGTTTTAATCAATCACGATAATTTCATTTTAGACAGAAGAGAGAAAAAGTAGAGTAGAAGAAAAGAGTAAATATTCTAAATGACAGCTGCTGTAAATACTGGACATATATTGAACTGAATAAAATATGGATTGCTCACAACATGTTCTATAAAATATAATAATTATATAGTAGTGCAGTCAAAACTGGAGTATTTTTTTAATTTCCTTCATGAGTGTATGGTCATAAATGTTTAACGTATGGGGTTTATATTCCACGTCCTTGTGAAGAGCGATGAAGATTATGGATGGTGTGACAAAGTGACAAGGAAGAGACTTGAGGGCGGATGAAGCAATGACAAGGCAAAAAAATGCTGAGGTGACTACAGGAGATTATTGATGAAGATGAGCTGATGAAAGGACGAGGACAACAGATGTCAAAGAGAAGAGATGGATTCAGCTGAGAGCTTTCACGTAAAACTCTGAGTGGAATTAATCTGCATTATATCATTATAGAAATAGACACAGAGGGAGAGAGAAAGGGAGAGAGAAAGAGAGAGTGAGAGAGAGACAGAGCGCCAGAGAGAGATAGACAGAGAAAGAGAAAGAGAGGGAGATAGAGATAGACAGAGAGAGAGACAGCTAGAGGTAGACAGAGAGAGATGAGGGAGAGAGAGAGAGAGAGTGCCAGAGAGAGATAGACAGATAAAGAGAAAAAGAGGGAGGGAGAGAGAGAGAGAGAGAGAGAGAGAGAGAGAGAGAGAGAGTGCGATAGACATAGACAGAGAAAGTGCGGGAGATAGAGATGGACAGAGAGAGTAAGAGAGAGAAAGAGAGGCAATAGTTGCCGTGGTAGATAAATCATGGACCTATTTATGGACTCTAACACATTTCCGTACTATCAACAGACGGGGATATTTATAAGAAATAGCTGTGTTTATCATCAAAGTCTCAGATAAGAAGTCCTTCTATTTCTCACTCGGGGAGGGGTAGGGGGGAAGAAGACATGCCAGGATTTTCCTCAACATCTAAGTCATATGTGTCAAACTCAAGGCCCGGGGGCCAAATGCAGCCCGCCAGGCTGTTTTGTGTGGCCCACGGGAGCTTAAAAAGCATTTATTATATATTCTATACATGATCTATACATTCTTCCATTTACAACTGGCCCTTTAAGGGGAATTGTATTGCTGATGTGGTCCCCGGTGAAAATTAGTTTGACACCGCTTGCTCTAAGTGCTCTGGAGGATCGATATCTCGCTCCTGATCTACAGCTGTGTAAGCTCAGTGATGACAGAGGGAAGAAGAAGAAAGATAAAACACATGGTAGGCTCTCATGATATGTCCACGTGTCCACACATGTGTGACACACACTTTTAGCTTGTCCCTTTATCAGGGGGTGCCAAAGCAGTAGTCCGCAGTAACGTTGCCTGAGATTTCCCTGTTCCTGATGCAACCAAACCAGGCATATGGGACTATATGGTGTTGAACTCACAGCCTTCTGGTTGCAGTTGGGATTATCTGTTTAAATATCTGTTGATTGATAATTGTAAATGAGGTTGGACTTATCAGATGGACAAAAATACTATTTCCTGAACCAATGGAGCAAATATGCATTTTTTTATATATGTCTAAGCATATCCATTTGGAAGAGCAGTATTAGTACAGTCGAACCTTGAGATATGAGCACCTTGACATATGAATATTCCGAGGTACGACCAAGCCTTAGAGCAAATTCTTGCCTCGAGATACGAGTAAAGATTTGAGATACGAGCACTCGTTCACTTCACGTGTTTCGTCGACTTCCGTACACATCTCCCGCAAGTCTTCTGTATTGTGTTTGCGTTATCTGCGTGATTTTCTTTCTATTTTGTGCATTATTCTTCATAATAGTGATGAGTCCTAAGAGACTGGTAAGAATGGTGGTGAGAAGAAGAAGAAATGTGTGGAGTACAGTATGGAATTAAGTGTCAATGTACGGGCCAACTCTCTTCCCTCCCTTCCTCCTTTCCTCCCTCCTCCTCCTCCCCACATGCCTCCATTAGCCTCTACTGTATCGTCTGTCACAAACATAAGAACTCATAATTAAAAACACATTTTTTTATATCACAGGAATCCTTATATACTATAATTTTTTTGTGTGTCTGTATGTCTCTATAGCAATTAAAAACATGTTTTTTTCCATTGTTATTAGCACTAATGAGGGAGTTTTTTTAGGGGGCCGGAACGGATTTTCTGTTTTTTTTTATGGAAAATAATTATTTGAGATAAAAAGCATCTTAAGTTTTGAGCTTGGTCCTGGAATGGATTATGCTCATATCCTGAAGTTCCACTGTATATTAAAATAGGGATTTAGGGCAAAGTTAATAAGGGACATTTATTTTGATAGTGTCAAAGTGTCAAAGTGTGGGAGTCAACATAATCCTTAAAAATGGACAAAACAACAGCAAAATAGAAATTAATTGAAGAACTAGGATTGTGTCAGAGAATTATGTAATCAATTCATCACAACCCACACAGTCTGAATTCAAATTGCTTAAATAAATGCCATAAAACCTAAGAGAAAAACATCCCATCCTTAACAGCAGATGCTGAAGCTAAGGCTGTCACACATTTAGCGTCACATCCAATTGGAAACCTCAGTTCCAGGACAGGCAGGCATAATTTCAAATCTAAACTGCTCGTTAGCTTTGTTTCTTTGATTTCAGTATCATGTTTTTGTGTCTGAGTATAATTACTTTCGACATTGCGTCAACGGTATTTAATTTGATTTGATTTGTGTACATATATGTACAGAATTAGTACACTGCCATCTTCAACACATCCGCAGTCCCTCTGGGAGGCTCTGACGATGAGCAGATGTGTTGGTGAAGATAAGCTCAGGCAGCTCCCACTGCTGGACTGAAGCAACTCTCTAAAAAGTTCATTTTGAAAAGTGATGTATTTGCATAAACATTAAGTGTTTCATTTTTGCGAATACTTCAGGCAGCCGGCCGCTACTGCAAGATGGTGCCAATGTTTTACTACCACTGGTGATGGTGGGTGGCATCTGAAGCCAAAGACTGAACTCTGCCATTCCACTCTGACTCTCTGAATTATTTTATTTAATCATCATATATCACCACTGAGAGCCTTTTACAGAACACAGGATGATTCTGGAGTATAATGGTCTAGCACAGGCACGGCCAAACCTTTTGACTCGCGGGGCCACAATTGTCCTAAAATTGAATGGGGGGGAGACGTTCAGGAGCAGACAGATGGAGTGTTCATGCAAACTAAGATTCATGCATAAAGGCTATAATACTAAAATGCTTTTATCATTTTCTATGCCATCTATTGGGGAAACGTGGGCATTGCAGGGAAAAGGCAGAAGTATAGGGATAATCTAAACATATTATATAATTTGGAAAGGTTTGGCGGACTGGAATAAAAAGCTGAACAGGCCGCAGTTTGATCATGCCTAGTCTAGACCTTTGCTCTTAAAAGACTTACCACTGAGATGCGTCATACCGAGCTGATGAAACAGTTCCTTCTAGAGAGAATGCCAACTTTCTCTTACCTATTGCCCACTTGCAATCGATTTTGGTAAAATAGATATTGCCGAAATTTCCTGGCTTTAACTTCATTTCTGTCTACACAGAGACAATTGTAGGTAAATGTAAAAATGTAAATGTAAAATTGTAGGTGTACAAACCCTGGTCCGAATTACATTGTGCCGATTTGTAAAGGTACAGATGAAATGATAGGTTTCAGTTTATTGGATGTTATGGACTGCATGAAAAACAAACAAAAAAAAACCAGAAAGAAAGTGTGTGCAACTTACTATATTCATCAGGGTGAGTAAGTAGTTCTGCACGTGTTCCTTGCCATGGAAACGAACCACTGAGTCATCAACTCCCAGCAGGACCTCAATGTTATAGTCATCATCCCCAGCATGGCGACGCTGCCGATGGCGCACAGTGTCATTTACTTGTCGAGCCACAGAATTGAGGGTCGCAGGTAAGTCAAGCTCTGGTTCTGGTAAGAGATGAGAAAAGAGAGGTGGAATTATAGAAGTTTGTCAGAAGGTCTAAACTAAACACTGCTTTATCAGGGCTGTTGAAACGGAGGCACACGTTAATAAGCCATCGTCCACACACTGATAATGATCTGTTCTGCTCTATAAAGTCTCTCAAACAGGTTCATTTACTGTTTACTCCTAGAAGTAGTTATATTTACAGGGCTTGAATTAGAGTCTTTGGTAAAGGTGCACTGGTGCACATAAAAAAAAATTACTTGCACCAAACAAAAAGTTACCAGCAAAATTTAAAAAAAGGCAAAAAAAAAAAAAAATTTACAAAAACAAAGACATTCTACATGTAAAAATGTTAATACATGACAGTGTATTGCTATCACTTTACTACAATTCCCAATGTAGCATGCCTCCACGGATCACGTGCAAGCTGTAATTGATACTGGTACATCTGAAAGCAGCGCCTCGAAAAAAAGACTGGTCTACATTTCGTGCCGCGCCGCCCGGATCTTTCTCGGACAGCGGTGAATTCTGGAATGCCCGGACTTTTGGCGACCTCCATGCAAGTTACCGGCTTTTACCATATTTGGGGTACCGAACACATGATTTGTCTCACATGATCATCAGCAAATTATCGGGGAGGAGATCAACTTGTTTCCAGGGAAGGTTACGTAATACAAGGAAGTGAAAATAAACGCAACCCCCTGCGACGCATCGACTGATTCTGGGTTAACAAGGATGTTTAATACTTAGCAAGGAAGAAAAATATTTATTTATTTATTTTCAGCTCTTTATAAGATAATTCTACCGGTGGTACCTGTAGAAAAAGCTACTTGAACTGGTGTAAGTTGGGTACGTGGTAATTCGAGCCCTAATTTATATAAATCATTATCACAATAATCACAATTAATTGTGACTAAATCTCATATTCCCCCATTAATAATTAGTTAAAATAAAAAGTGAAAGCATTGACATTGACCTACTTAATTCGTATCATGTTCAGAGAACTTTAGGGCTTTGGTAGAATTCTACTTTTAACAGCAGTTTTTATACATAGCATATAATTTTATGAATAAAAGTAACAGAAAACAATCAATGAAAACATGCCTGCAGCTGCATGTGGCCATAGTTAATTACACGCCAGTTCACATATTACATTTAAAAAGTAAACACTTGAAAGGGCAATTTATCCTAGTGCACAACAGTGGTTGCATGACATTTATTTTGAATTGAAATTAACATAATTAAACTAAACAAAGCAAGAATGTAGAGAAAAAAACAGAAGAAGGTCAGCTCCCTCTTAAAACTACATTCCATCAAATAATAATGAGTATTCCAATATTTGAATTGTGTTGATGTTGATTTAATGCACAGTGGCTCCAAAGTTCATGAGAGAAAAGTGAACTGGCGAAGAGAATTTGTAAAGCAAAAAGTAAAGCATCAAAATGAGGGAAAAACTGTTTGATAATCATTCAAGGGAATGAAGACTGAAGCCTAATTTTAAATGGTTTAATATGAAATAATCCTATGTTTGAAAATCAGCAGCACTTTGCTGTGTGCAATTGATTCATCATATCAGGAAACGTCTGGCTTAGGTGAAGTGTGAAGCCAGGGGCTTTTTCATTATTTCCTGTCAGACTAATAACAGACATATCAATCCCTGATGAAAATAAAAGCAGAAACGAGGAGCCTCGTTTTAAAAAAATAAAAAATAAAACGTTGTGTGTTACATCCTTAACATTTTTATTATTTTTGTGTTTATTTATTTATATTTTTTCCTTTCTATCAGAGCAATATCTTGTAACTGTGATTCCTGTCAGATACAACATGTCAAATTTGATGTCTGACAGTTTAAACTACATGGCTTTAATGAGAAAAAAAACCTGTGAAAACATTCAGCATTGACCAGCTTCAGGTGTCTGCAGACATTTTCTCATTCATGTTATTCAAAGTCTTAACCTTCACATACGTCATATATGATTCATATATGATTTATATATGATGGTCCATTTCGTTGGCAGTGAGTGAGTCACTTCAGGTTGACATGTGACCTGTGTTTAATGTTAACATACAGCATGCCGCACCAGATCAAGGTGATAACAATGACTGCATCTGCTGTTTACGTCCTCTCTTCCCCTTACCAATTTGATTATTTCCCATAACCTAGTGACCAGAGCTCCCCCTCCCCCCATTAGACCCCAAAACAGAGATTACACTTAGTGGATTTGCAAAGTGTATCTAATATGGATAAATTCTAGTTTAACCACCACTGAAAAGTCTTAGCCTTAGGTTTGCCTAAGTCAGTGGTTCTCCAACTGTTTCTGCTCTGTACCACCTGAGAAAACATGGATCTCTCTGAGTACCACCATGATGACCAACATTAGAATATAGCAGCATAGGCCTTCACTATTAGCTTCCACCACACAGGAGAGATGTTTAGAAATGTTTAGAAAGATGTTTATGTTTAAATGTTGTATTAATTGTTGTAAATAGAAGTTAAAGTTAGTTACCAAAGTGTGTTAAACCAAAGTGTGTTGAACCATAAACTGTATCTAAGTGTGTATCTAAAAGGTTTTTTTATGATGTAGGTCCATAGGATGAGGTCTGTTTCTCATCCAGTATGGGAATCGATGAACTTCTCCTTAAGAGTAAAACGTAAAGAAAAAAACAACTGCCCAGTACTTGTGAAACTTTCTCAATAAAAGGAGCTGCAGTCCTCATACACTTTGGGACTTAGGTGAGCCAGCTCTGCAAAGCTGTTGGTCTCTCTGCTCCCCCTCGCAGTGAGTAAAATGTACAACGTTGTCAGGTGTGGTTCTTTTCAGGTCATTCTATCTGCAACAGTTAGATGACAATAGTGGTGACTGAATAACGTAGGCACCAACAATTGTGCATGGTATGTTTCAGATTTATTCAATTTAAAGTGTAAATGTGAAATTGTGAATTTTCTCCGCGTACCATTAGAGAGCGCTCGTGTACCACTGGTGGTACGCATACCACAGTTTGAGAACCACTGGGCTAAGTGAATGCATTTAACTATATAAACTGTGAATACAGATAGATGATATCAAATTGGGCTGTGATTGGTGTGTGGACATAGAATGATTTAATAGAAGTCATCTGAAGAGGTCACGTCTCAACTCAGCAGCAGGTCAGGATAAAAGGTAGGCCACAGAAGGCCAAGGATGGATTAGCCAAGTTATAATCCTGCCATGGTTGGAGGATCTGCATTAAGGCAGCCAGGAGTCAAATCAAATCAACCTTTTCAAACCATGTCTATAGTCTACCATAAACTTAGATACAGTTTATGGTTCCCACTATGGAAAGCACAGCGTTTAAAAGTCATGTTTTTATCCATGCATTGTCCATCTCAAATATTAATCAGAAACGTAAGGGTTTTCAGTTGGTCTTCAAATATTAGATGACGATTAATGCTACAGCTGTTAAAGTAATGTTCAGTCCAAATGCCTGGCTGGTGCCAGACTATTCTTACAGAACACAGTGCAGTAAATAAGTCTACAGCTGACAAGCTGACTGACACATTTTCCAAATTGATTGTGATGGAGCACAGATAGATTGATATTGTTGAAGACAGTAATAGCGTCGCGTTTTGTACTCAGGAAACACGCACATCTACTTCAGAATGTTGATTGATCTTGTTTAATTGTGATTTATCAGAATCACAACAATCATGATTAAATTAATCAATAGCTATGATTAATCAGTTAAAAAAACTGAATTATTTGACAGACAGTATTGTACTAGCATGCGCAAAGCGCTTTAGGGATGAAGCCACGTTTGACCTTGTGTCTCTCTCTAGGATGATGACGGAACACAACCACATGAAATTAAAATTAAATTAAATAAATAAATAAATCTGACTATAAATATAATTACCAAGATTGTCAATGGTTGGCAAATACATAAAAATCACAACCATAAATAAAAGCACAGGTCTTTTTTTTTAATATATTTTCAGGGATGCTTAAGGCCACAGTCACGGCCAGTGATTGAGTGGAGAGGGAGCTAAAATTAATAGAGAGGAATGGTTGTCACCTCAGCCGTGGCCTGGCTCCTACAGTGTTGAGATTGTGAAGCACATTCCTCTTCACTGCCGCCCCTATCATGACAGAGGCATTCTTGTGTAGCCGCTCGGCTGCCCCCTCCTCTTCCTGAGTAAACAGGCGCTCTGAGGTCCATACTTCAAACGCACAGGACTTCCCCTCAGCAGTGCTCCTTAAGACTCGTAGTGTGCTTCAGTCAGCGTCGTGCCCCCACCCATACCTCAGTCCCAGGGGAGCCCCACCAACAGCAGCAGCCCAGGAGATGGGAGAGGCCCACAACCAGCTACTGCCCACACGTGGCACAGTGCGGAGAGGTGGCAACGAGGCCAGCCAGAAAACACCCAAAGCTAAAAATGGCACAGAGGAAGGCGACAGGAATCTCGCCATCATTCTAGAGTGGAAATCTACTGTGTCTGCTGGAAATATCAATGCCGCACTTTTTACAATGCTCACATATTCCAGCAATGCCATTCATGACAAGGGCACAGTTTTATTCATACCCCGTATGAATGCAGACAGACAACATGTGACCAAATGGCTTCTGTACTTTTTAAAACACACAACTTTGAAAATTCTGCAAAAATTTACAGGTGCAAACAGGCATTTTGATGCAAAAGCAAAAGATGACTTTTCAGAATTGATCCCACAACCAACCCCCAGGGTATTAAAAGTGCTTTATTACAATAAGCTCACTGTAAATAATAATAATAATAATAATAATAATAATAATAATAATAATAATAATAATAATAATAATAATAATAATAATAATAATAATAATAATAATAATAATAATAATAATAA